GACTCCAAGGAACAAGCTGGACAATGTGGTTTATGCCGTTCAGTGCAGTGAGGAGTGTACAGACTTGTACATTAGGGAGAGTAAACAACCACTACACAGGCACATGGCCCAACACAGGAGGGCCAACTCCTCAGGACAGGACTCAGCTGGTCACATACACCTTAAAGACAAAACCCAGTCCTTTGAGGACAACAATGTACACATGTTGGCCAGGGAAGACATATGGTTTGAGAGAGGGGTAAAAGAAGCCATTTTTGTCAACCTGGAAAAACCATCACTCAACAGAGGAGGTGGACTCAGACACAACCTATCACCCACATACAGAGCACTTTTAGGAACAATACCCAAAAGATTCACCTCAGTTTGACACAACAAAAAGGCAGGTGAACGAAACCGTTCTGATGAGGACCACAACAACCCATCAGACTCTTAACAACTGTTTACACTTTCACAGTTGACCCCAAGGCCAAGTAGCTTCATTCTTTCTCACCTAGAGTATATATCTGCTGTACTCCCCACCACCAGTTAGAACTGAAGAAGCCTCTTGGATTAGAGGTGAAACGTCTTCTTTAAGAAAAGATCACGTCCAGTTGCCTAACAGAACTTTTCCCAAACAAAATATATCTATGTCAAATTCCAAGAAAGACTATAGACAAACTTTCCCCTACAGGAAGTTAGCTAAAAGCCATATGTTCAAATTTCAAGTTAGTTCATGCTGTTTTATGTTAGGCTATAAAAAAATTAAAATCATTATCAAAAACATTTAACAAAACTCAAACGTTAACAACAACAACAATAATAAAATGCTTTTGCAGCTAACCTTAAACGCTAAGAGGTAACTGAGCATTAAACCAAAATAGTCTACAGTTCACCCAAAAATGCAAGTGTAGACACAATACAAAGATAATGCTGAAGATACCTTGGATCCAAAACAGCTAACATTAACTGAAAGGTTAATGGAGGTCGAGCCAGCATTAGCTAAAAGTTAACAGTGAACAAAAGGTTATCAATTAGCTTGATGATAAGAAAAAAGCAAATAAGACAAAAGTTAGCCAAAAAACAAAACAAAAACAAACCTCTTGATAATCACAGAAAATAAAATATTTAAAATTAAATTTTAAAAGACCCAAAGTAGAATTGATGAGATTGACTACGATCACACACAGTCAGTGGCCTTGGCAGACGTTCACACTTTTAACACCGTCACTAGCTGTGAATCATCTGCACACCCACAGGTCAAAGTCCCAACATCTGATAAAATGGTTTCTATCTGACCCAGACACTGACACTGGTAAAGTGAATTTAGAAATCTGCAAAATTTTCAAGTTTCACATGAACACAGCCCATAGTACAACAGTAGCAGAAACAAACAATTCACCATTGAATCTTAACAATACGCCAGATTAATATATTAATTAAAACTTTCAAACAACATAATTTGCATACGCAGCTCCAAAATCAGAATTGCTCACACCAAAATGTGAAGGGTTTCTAGGAAGGAATCAAATAATAGCTTGGGAACTGGACTGAAGACAACAATCTTATGAAATGATGAATTAAAGTTTGACATTTCTGGTTAGAATCACTTCTGGTTTGTCAGGAAAAGATCTAAAGAAAAATACATCAACACTGTTTGGCACTTCCAGGGTGGGCTCTGTAATGGTTTGGGGCTACATTTCAGGCTGGAGACTTAGTCATTATTCATGAAAACATGAATGCTAAGTAGATATTGATACACCTTGCAGTACCATCTGGGAAGCACGTTCTAAGACACACGTTCATCTTTCTATCAGTCTGACAGCCTGCTACAAGGAGCATCCAGGGAATGTAACTTTTTTTCTGATAGCTGCGTGCAGTAGCATATTAGGGATTAATGCTTGAAAACAAAAGGGTTCATTCAACTTTACACCTTTAACATAGACTCATATAATAACAGAATTCCATTTTTTTGGGGGGGGGGGGTGGGGGGTCTTTTTACGCTTGATTATGTCCTCGATTATAATGTTCCAGCTGTGTTACTGACACTCATGTACAGTGCACCATGTGAGTTCCGATTTACGGTGAAAATTCAAGTTACATTGCACTGTAGGAATGAAATTCCAATGTAATTTGAGGATCCGCTGTACAACAAAAAGCAGCCAGTCTTGGCTCGTATTTCCAAGCTAACGACACAATAGCTTCAGGTTGTGAGACAGATTGATAGAATTGTATTAATCCCTCGGGAGCTCCCTTAGGGAAGTTAAGTGTGAGCTTCCTGTCCTGTTCTTCAAAACAGAACACATATGCACTGTAATAGGCTCTTTGGACAATTCAAATATGCAAACCTATGCACAGAAGAGGAGAACATGCAAACTCCATCCAGAGAATTGAACTGGCAAGAGTAACCACTCCTCCACCGTGTCACCCAGATCTGCAATCTGCAAAACGAAAACAGTATTTAAAGATTTAAAATTCTCTCAGGATAAATAACCACAATATTTTATATATATAATAATATTTAATTAAGCTTACTTCTTAATTAGCTTAGCATTATTGTCTTTGTGCTTTAATCACATCCCAATCTGCTATGACTGCTATGACTGCAATTGTACATTCTAGTCTAGAGGACTTTACTTTTTGTAAATTAGGTCAATCAAACTAAGATGAGGTTGACCATTCATCTCAGCGACTTGATCTTAAAGAGTCAAACTTCAGTTAGATTTGACTTCCCCCATTGCCCTGTTTTTCTTATCTGATACCTGGGCTCTATTTTAGGGACATTTGGGAGAGTGGTTATGCAATTTGAGCCAAATGGGATGTTCAGTTTCTTATCATGTGTGGAAATAAACCACATGTCTCCTGAGAATGTGTCTCAGGACCAAAGAACTGCCGGCCTTCTGTCCCTGTTGTTATGACAAAAGCCTGGATGTTCAGTGCAGACAGGGGAACGGGGTCTGCGGCTCAAGGCCTCGGTTTCCGTCTACTGCCTGTCACTAAGGCCTCTGGGGATAAGTTTGGAATCATAAATATGTTGCTTCCACCAAATGACATGTCTTTTTGTGCAGAGAGACATTCTTTTGTCTCCAGCCATAACTGCAGGCGGGAGACGAGGAAGATATTCTGTCGCCACAGACCTAAGAAACAATGAGTGAGGTGAAGATCAGGGTCTCGTCAATGGATACGCTTCACACAGTAGTGTCAAGTCCAAATATTTATGAAACGCGTGTTTTTTGCAAAGGTAAAAGGTGATGTTGGCATGAAACAATAAATGTAGGCTTTTATTTTAATGCAAACATTACATTTTTAAATACATTATTTTACAAATCATAATAAAACAATTGACTACATTTTTGGCCTTTAACAAATTTATAATTATTTTACCAGTTATACAAAGTTTTAAAATATCCTAAAAGTTTTTAATAAATAACTTTTGGCTTTTCCAACCCTATTTTTGTATTGTGTTAATTTTCATTTATTTTTTCACAAACTATGTTTTAACAAATTCATGAAAGTGGACCTACTATGATCCTATGATCCTATGATCAATGGGTTTTTCATATACTGTAAAATAAAGCATTTGACCTGGAACAGTCAACAATTCCCTTCTTTGCAAAAGGTAAAACACATTTGTTTTTGTTTATATATACAAGACCAGCATCATTTGCTGATGTAGCACAAGTCAGCTAATGTTTTTGGTTCAAAACGCGATGTTTAATTCCACCAGCAGGAAAATGAGACATGTTGTTTATGAAGAGAGTCATGTTTTGGGGGAAACGCCTCACGTTTTTATCAGCTCTGATCAGAGGCCTGCATGGGCTACAAGGCAACTCCACTGGTAAACACAGCTCACTAACTGCAGAACAAAATGTGAGGCCGTTATTTTTAGCAGCACTGACAGTAAAAAGAAGTCAGATCTCATACAACAATTACCATAATGAAGTAAACTGGACTACGTTTACACTGACACTCCAGACGGCATCTCAAGGAAATATAGTCCTCATATAATATAGTCCATATAGTTGATAAAAAATATTTCCAAAAAACTCAGTGTGCATCTAAAAAATGTGAATGAGCTAAATCTACACTTTAATTATATTAACTTAAATCTACATTTAACAGGCAAAATAACTGACACATTAATGTTTCTTATTTTAAAAAGTCAGAGTTTTCCAACCATTTGACATGACATGTTTGTGGGTCTGCAGTAGTTGTGGTCTGATTCTAAAGTTTTAAAACATTTAGTCGGTCCTTGGTTTACGGTGTCATCAACTTACAGGTTCCGTCGCCATTTCTCATACATTTATTAAGGAGGTCTTAGTCCATCACTATGACATACAGCGTCAAAACTTGTCCACTAGTTTGCATGGTCGCTAGTTGGCAAATGGAGAGAACAAATATGTTGTCATGCTGCGCTGTATGTGGAAGACATCTTTATTTATTCACTTTCTTTTGTTTGTGTTGTTTTTGAGAACTATTTGCCCTTCAATATGACTCCCAGGTGTAAGTCAGACTTTTCTGATGTTTTTATGATCTAGATTACATAGGTTTATGACCTAGATGACATAGGTAGTTACAGTACAGTATGTGACTTCTGACACACAGTGTAAACAGAGGTACTTCACATGGTAGGAACTGAACTCTGATATAAGCCCATTATATATGCCGCAGTAAAATACTAAAGGTCACTGAAATGTGAATTATCTATGAGTAGTTTTTTATGAAAATTAAATTACTAATTGCATCTTTAGAAACAACACCTAATTTGTGAAAATGGTGCAAATGTAGATAATAAATATAAACAGTAAATAATAAATTATTGGGGCAGAGGCATGCCAGGAGTGCCTTTGTTCTCTATTGATTCATAGCAGCAGAGGAGTGCACTGATAATTTCATCAGGCGGACTGACTGTCTGCTGTGCGCCTGAGAGGAGGCGCCTATGTCCGCTTCACGACAGCTGATGTCACCAGTGGAAGTGTGAGTCCAAGGGCAGGGAACCTCCCCACAGCTCTATAAATACGCTCAGCCTCAGCCACACTGCACTCACTGTGGAAACAGTGCGCTCCTGACAACTCACCGACGCAGAGTTGCAGCCACACGGAGCCAGAATCACGCACATCCAAGTCTGTCCAACCGACAGGACAAAGAACGACATCATGTCCACGTACGCGTCCTACGAATGCCGCAGGGTCAGCCCGTCCGTCCACGGCAACAAGTTCGACACGGCGCATCGGAAGAAGGCCGAGGGCAACATATTTGAGAACGTCAACCAGGACGCGCTCATGAAACTCTTTCAGAAAACGGGCGACATGAAGGCGGAGGAGAGAGTGAGGAGCATCTTCTCCTATAGCCAGGACCCGGAGGAGACGGCGAGAGCTCTGATGGCCCTGAAGCAGCGCAAGAAGGACAAGTTCCTGCGGATCGCTGGCATGGTCCGACAGCTGCTCAAACTGCGGTGACTCTGGTTGTAGCAGCGCGTGAAAAGCGCTTTTTTTTTTCTGTCTGTGGGCTCTTTGTGTGAGCCGAATGTGAAACAATCCCACCGTGGGAATAAACAGCCGCAGGTGCGGCTCTAACTTGTCGCCTGGAAAGGTGCGCTTGCAGCAGCAGCCCCGCTGCATCAAGGAGCCGCTGTGGCCTCGGGGATGGAGGTGACAGCAGCAGGATGTCCTGTGTGCAGCCGATGGAGCCAAATACATGAACAAAGAGACACTTGAATCCACGTCTGCTTCTCGGTGGATTGCAGGAGCGTGGAGCATCAGTGTGTGTGTGTGCAACGATGAGAGTGAACACCAGCAAAAACCAGACTGTTTATTTATGTACAGTGCCGAGCTGAAGAACCTGTCTACATGAATGCCTGTCTCCTTAACACAATGCCTTGACTCTCAGCACCATGATGGTGGCCACAGTTGTGATGATGTCACCAACATGTTAACACAGGATGCACAATAACTACTGCATTGCAATGCAATTTCCTATGTTCCTATATTTGTACGTTTTCTAAATAAATTATTGAACTGTCAACAAAAAGTGAAACTGTGTTTGTCCTTATTGAGAATTAAATGTGTTTAATAATGGAGGATGACGTCAGGTAAACAACAAGGCAAATAAACAAGGTTAGGGAAATAAGAATAATAACAGTAATACATCAGATAATATTAATGGATGTAAGTAAAGATAATGCTTGGTGATACAAGTGAGGAAACAAAGGAGTGGAGTGATATGGATACAGTCGACGGAGAAGGCAGCAGATTGTAGCAACAACAACAACAACAACAAAAAAAAAAACCTGGGGATTCCCTCTAGTGATGGAATATGGAGTACAAACAGGAGAATAAAGGAAAGGATAAACTACAACCTTTTGAGGTATTTTATGAGAATGTCAGAAACTAAATAGAAACATTAGGAATATAATCCATAATCCTAATCCATCATCTGACTGAATGTATCTTTGCCATGTGGAGACTATAAAAAGGGAAACCCTTTATGACAAACTACACACAGAGAGAGAGCGATAGAGAGAGTCAGTCAGAGAGGTTAAAGGTCATTGGTGCAGAAGTTGGGAATCCCATGTGTAAAAAATGTGATGGAAAAACATTTGTTAGTAAAAAAAAGTCTCAAAATTACATCTATTAAAGGCATGATTTCATGACAGTTTTGTAGTTTGCAAATATTACTGTATTATTTAGAGATGATATTAAGTTTTTACCATGCAAAGTGATGATTAAGTCATTTTACCTGAATTCCTTGTAGTTGTTGAGTCACTTTTTTAAGGCTTTTATAAATGTATAAGTCATTTATAGACACTGGTGTGACTGATCATTTCAAAATGTCAGAGTGTTTTAGAAACTAAGTCTGTGTTTTAGTAACATTTTTTATAACATTTTTTTTATAACATTTGAAGGCACTAACTATGTGATAAGGGTTTTTTTTTGTGTAACAAAAAACAAAAAACAAAGGAGGTAAAAGCTACAGATCAGCGGCCGCCTGCCTTCTTTGTTATGTCGCGGCTGACGTTCCAAGGCAGTTATTGCTCACGGGAGGATGTGGTTTCTCTTTACAGTCACTCCTTTCTACAACATCAGACCGGAGAGAACCAGTTTGGCTCAGTTGACTTCGGTCAAGTGGGGGATGGTATCTGAGGGTGGATGGTTCTCGCTCGGCTCAGAGAGGGTGGTTTCTGTCTGTTTGATCATCCCCGAGTCTCCAGATAAGAGCCTGAGCCTGAGAAGAATTACAGGGTTTACATGTGAGGAGGCTGCACCTGCTGGCTCCTCGCCCTCCCATAAAACAAGTGTGATCCTGCTCCTTTCATCGATTCTGTCTAGTTAAGCAGATTTAGATGTTCCGTGCCTTTTTGGGATAATAACACATATACATAAAAATAAACCTTAAAACACATATTTTTATATCCACACTTTCTTTCACATCATCACAGGAATTTATTTTAAATTGGAGACACTTTTCTTTGTGTTTTTGCTACGTCTCCTCTGTATCAGTGTCACCTTTCTCCAGGCTTGTTCCTATGTTTTTTACTGTCCCTAAATATTTTATGTCTTTATTGTTTTTGTATCTTTGGTTAAAGTAAATTGTTAGATTAACTGATCTGTAAAAAAAAACTCATGTAACTCTGCACAGTTAAAAACACCACAGAGAGGAAAAGTCATCTTTGAAGGACCTATAGTTTGTGTGTTTGTTGGTAGCGACACACACACATCGTACGGTTGAGTGAAGTAAATACACTCTAATCTGCTTGCTCTGTCAGTTACTCTTCACTGGCTCAAACCAGTTCCTGCCCTGTTGCACACAATGACATCAGACCATGGGTGCTTCTCACATGTGAGAGAGAGAGGTATGAGGAAACTGGAGAGTGGGTGGCCTCAGAGCCAGGAACCCTGTGGTGTATCATGATGTGTATGACTAACTGTTTCTCAGGGCTGAAATAATAGTCAGCGGCTCCTGCTGTGAGAGGTAGATTAATCCAAATTAATTCATCATCTATGGTATCTAAGGTCGATGTAAAAAAAAAAAAAAAAGAGTGAAATTTGCTAATAAAAGAATTAACACATAACTGTAATAAGATGTGAAAAAAGTGTGATCACAGAAAAACTGACCTAAAAATGATAATATGTTTAGGAAATAGAGCAACAAAACGTGTCAAGTGTCAAAGGGAGACACAGTGTGCCTTGTCCGGACTTGTGCCCCCAGACAGTTGCTCAGAGAATGTTTTGTACAAGCAATTTCCAAGAAACGACTTTCCCAAAAGCCACATTCAGTGATCAGCACAAAGTCCAAGCAAATGCAAACTCTTGCAGGAATAACTGGAACTAGAAATGATTTTAAAACAACAAAAAAGTGTTGTGTTGTTAATGTCTGTTGGTGTTTTAACTTCAACTGCAAGAAATAGTACCAAGTACAATAAGCCAAAGGTTTTACTGCCGTCAGCCACCATAAGCAAGGTCACAATGGTCCTTAATGATACTATACTAAACTATGAACAACCTCCTGGGACTATACTGCATTGAAAACCATTGGATAAAAGTGCATGGCACCAGTACCTCAGAAGAAAGTTGTTTTTCTGAAATGTTTTTTTGCAGGAAGGTGTTTGTACCAGTCTTTGGTCGGAGAGTTCTCTTGTTACCTGACAACCCATGTGTTTCTTTAAGTTCCCGGCTCCTTCTGTGGCAATACACAGAGTCCCAGGTACTTCACGTCAAAATGAATCCATTAATCATTAATAATCTTCCACCAAAACATTGACAACAGCTCAACCTTAAACCAAGTGATAATGATTATCCTAAAACCTATTACTTTCACTGACAGAAATAACCTTTGACCTTGTTCACAGGGTCATAGTTGAACTCTTTTCCATTTTACAGCTGTGTCAAACTCTGTAAATCAAAGAGTCTATTTTCTGCTCATTCATCTCACAGCTCAGCCTTTTGTTCCACTCCTGAATCTAACTCCTGGGGTTTTTTCTTTGTTGCCTTCTTTTTTCCTTTTAGGGCAGTTGTAAATGAGGGGGAAATATTCAAGGCAATTGTCTTGGCCTGTCTTTGCTGTGTTGGCAGTGAAATTCAGCGTCCACCCTCTTCCTGCCTTTCATCAGACAGACAAATGGCGTGAGCTTTGATGTCAACAGACACAGAGGCAGACACAAGACAGTGAGTAGGACACAGGGCGGAGATGTCACTGTGTAAAGGTGTGTGTGCGGCACAATTATATAAGTGAGAATGTAACTGTTTAGACATAACAACCTTCCTGCAAGAACAACTTATGCAGGACAGTAATGGAGGAAGGAAAGGAAAGTGAACTCCTTGTCACTGTGACACAGCTCACCACTGCACACAACCAAATGTGACCTCTGCTTTTAACTTTACAATATCACCAAAGTGAACAGTGGGCAGCTTTAAAGGGAGCAGTGTGGCTTCAGGACCTGAAGTAAGTCACCTCCCTAACCACTAAGCCACCACTGCCCCAAGAGTGTGAAGAAGAACTGTCCAAACACTGAGAAATGTTCTAGGTGAATGATGAATATATAAATTAATGAAATAAACTAAAGGCATAATGGAGGTATTCCATTTTACAAAATTTTGCAGAGTTTTAATAGAAAGGGGTGGNNNATCCTGCCTTCTGGCTCTTTCCCACCACCCTGGGTTAAATTAGTGTTAAATGAATGTATAAATACAGCTGTGGTTGCACTGTGATGGTGCATAAGAATGCAGTACTTTTATTTTGAAGGCAACTATTTTGGTTTCGAAATTGACGTTTTAGCTTCTGTTGTGTTGGAGAAAAAAGAGAAGGCTTTGCAAATGTGTTTATGTTTTGTTATGATTGTTTATTATTCTGGCTAAAACATCCATGTGTTTCTTTGTCGATACAGTCTTGGTTGACTGCATCAGCTACTTGGTTTTTATCGCAGTAAAGGGGAGGTTAATTTAAAAATAAAATATTTTTTAGACAAATAAGATGAAAAAGTAACACATAGGATGTTGATGTGGAGGACAAACAGAGACCATATGAGAATTGATAATTACTGTATCAGCCTCATAATGGTGAGTTACTGTACTTGGAAATCACGAGGTAGAAAGTATTTATATTCCTCTTTACGATGGCGGCGCTGAATGAGTTTTGGTGGTAAAAAAACAGAACTCATCTGTCTCCTCCATCTGTTCCGCACTCAACAAGCAAAACAGCTGTAGGCTAGTAGTTCATATACAGATAAAACATAGGTCAGAGCATTAAACAAAAAGAAGTAACATGAAAGGTTGATATGGAGAAAGAAAAACACAAAGAGACAACAAATGACTCCAGTCTAACATTTCTCACAAATCATTCCAAATGTCTGAGACATATTTTCACAAGGAAAAAACAAAACAAAAAACCTTCAAACTATTTTTTCCACCTTGTTTAAACTCCAAACCTTTGTGTGTTTTCTTGTTTGTTCAGTGACAACAACATGTGGTCTGAACACTCTTTGTGTGTTCTGTGTTAATGTGAGAGCAAGCAGCAGGGGTGAGCAGAGGTGAGGGGGAGAGGAGGAGACAGAAGGAAGTGAAACACAGAGGAGCTGGAACAGTGCTTACAGAGAGCAGGGAGTGGTGATCAAACCCAGTCTGGTTCAAACTGGTTCAGACCGTGATCTGCTGATGAGCAAGTGAAGGAATGAGCTGCACACTGGCTTTTAGGATTAGTGAGTGTTTCAGTGGAAAACCCTGCTGTAAATCAGATGCCTTCAGGCAAATTTACTGTTCGTTTAAAGGACTCGAGCTCTGACACTTGGCAGGTCGCACACTAGCAAACACTGTCTGCCGAGCGCTATATTTAGAGTTTAATCCATTTATTTTAGCCATGAAGGAGTTTTCCTGAGGAAACTGAGCCACGGTCAGAAATGATTAGGTTCTCATTTATCAAACAACGTTCTCAACTTCAGGCCAAATATTTTTTGTTTTGTTTTTTTTCAAGAAGAGGAAAGGCTGTGATCAGTCATAGTAGCTCACTAAATTTAATCAGACATGACTTAAACTGTA